AGTCTGTCCATGTGTTGTGAGATTAAGGAGTTTTCATCCTGTCTTCTGACTGCTAGTTGGTACTCGTGGATGCGCTCTGCCAGTCTTCTGCCTGTCTGCCTACATAGTGTTTGTTACAGTCCTTGTACTGTATGTTGTAGATGAATCCTGTTTTTTCTTCTTGTGCTACTTGTGCTTTTCTTCTTGTGCTACGTCTTGTGCTACTCCATCCCATTTTAGCACTGAAGATGTTACCTAGCCAGGTAATGAAACGTTTGCAAGAAAAGAACCAAGCTCAGAGAACCCCAAGGACTCCACAGGATAATTTGAGCCTGGTCATTCGTGCCTCTAGTGAGAATTCTAGTGATCACCACTAGATGGCAGCAAAGGATCAAAGGTTTGAGGATATCTTTTTGCTGCCATCTAGTGATTGGATTTAATGTATAATTCTTGAGTGGAGAGTGAAGAAGAAAAAAAAAAGAAAGCACAGATGAGGCATCTCAACAAAACAAAACAAAACAAACCCCCACACAACTCCCTCAGTGATTAAGGTGAAAGTTACTTTTGCTCTGATCAGATAACTTCTGCATTATCAAAGGCCTCTCCATTTTCCAAGAGCCAGTATTTTGTCACTCAACCCACATCTCATACTTTCCTCACTAGAAAGCATTAGTTATACAGAAGACTATCTTCCTTCCATTGTCAGGTGCCAACCAATCTTTCTACAGTGACACAGAGAGCCTGGGAGGGAGCACTGAATGCCAGTCCTTGGATTCACCTACATCCAGCCCAGGTGAGAGGAAGTTCCCTTTTTATAACCTGGAAAATTAAGAAAGTTCATATAGAAGAGATGGGAGGTGGAAGCTTTATTAAGATATTAGCTGAAATCTTTATGAGAGGAATTATAGTTATGTTGCAAAGAGACTGTGGCATTCTTTCCTGATCTATAGTCTTTGTTTCTCCACATACTGCTTTTTTCATAGATTTTTTAAAAAATATCATTTCTCCTTAATAATAATTTCTCCTTAATACTTTGACATTTTGATGCCTAAAACTTTTTGTCTTTTAAATGAATATATAAATCTTGGTTTTATCATTTTATACATTTTAAATTGCAACTTGTTCTCTCTATTAAAGCTGGCAAAATCACTTTAGGCATCTGGATTAAAATTTATTTTACAGAAGTTTTTTTTTTTATTAAAAGTTGCAATATCATTTTAAATGTCCTGAGATCATGACATTAATAAAACATAATGAACCAATTCTGTATTGGGAGCCCTGTGAATGGTCTGGGAATGCATGACACACTCAGTGTTGCAGCTAGGCAAATGCAGACCTAATCAGAAATCTAGAGGGGAAAAAAACTGCAAGGACTTCCTCAAGTGAAAGAGAGAGGGAGAAACCAAAAACTGTCCCTGAACTCTGGTTTCATTTCAGCAATACCAGTGGCTGGATTCATGTAGTGTACTAAGTCAGGGATCAGAGCTGTGAACTTTTGCAGGGCTTTTGCTGCACCAATGGCTGGATGGCTGCCTATGAGGTCACTGGAAGGGTCTATGATGTCACAGAAAGTGGCAAAGCTGATTCTTTTTCATCCTGCTTGTGAGGATTTTAAGCCGCTGGAATTGAAACCCTGCTCCAATGTCCCCTTTAGTGAGTCCCCCAGTCCCCCCAGATGGTCTGAGATGTTGCTACCAAATTTTGGCAGTGTACTGTCAGAGTGCTGCAGAAGGACTGCAAATGAATTATTAGGCAGCTGCATTCATTCAGCCATCATGTGGTTTGTTTGATTTTGACTTTATGAAATTATGCATTATGTATCATTATGTTTTATTTAACCAAATACATTTTTGAAAACCATGGCTTCTGTGATATGTGAACCCAGCCATAGCCTAAATTTAATCAATCGCAGCTATTTAAGCTTTGTTATCAGGTATTGAAGGAAATAGGTTGAAACAAATAGGTTACAATAATCTTAGCATTCCCAACGTGGAGCCCTCGGGTATTAAGGTTCCTGTAGAACGGTCCCGACTTTTTAAAAATAATGTTTTAATTAAAAAAAAAAGAAAAGAAAAGAAATTAGAAACTGAGCAGTTGCAAAATGAAGGGGCAGCCCTTGCATCATCTTTATTACCAAAGTTATTTTGAGGTCCCTCATAGGCCCTGTGAGCATTTTCAAAAAATCAAAATGGTCAGGTGACTACCTCCCCAGTGGTTTGTTTGAAAATGTGCCTATCTGCCCAAATAAAACCACAGATATAGCTTGAGAGGTACAGAAAACTGGGGTGGGGGAGGGAGCTTTGACACCAGTTTGCTGTTTGATAAGTGATTTTTTTTTTTTTAATGGCTGCTCCAACCCACTGTGACAGCCATTGTGGGACTGCAGAAACCCCACACCCATGAGAAAGCATCTACAATAAGACTTTTAAAATTTCAGACCTGCCTATCAACCCAGAAAGTCTGGGGCTTCTGCAATAGCTGATCCTTATTCTTTTCAAACTTCTGTTTTAAAATGGCAGCCAGTTGAACAGTTGAACATGTCTGAATTGATCTGATAGTTAAAATCATTTCCAGTCTGGAAATTCTTGAATTGCGTTATAGTGACAATGCAGACAATTCACGAATGCTCGCTTTAGAACAGCACAGCATTTTTTCACATAACAAATTAATTCTGCAGAATTCAATGTACAATCAATTTAACTGGGGATTTTTAAACAGCTTCTGTTATTGTTTAAAGGATCATTTATTTCATATTCAGGCCACAAGAAGTTGCTGAAAGCTCCATCCACTGGAACTGTGTCCTCCTCAGAAGACTGTGAAGAGAAAGATTTGATACAAGCCTATGACAATGGTGAGAAGCAAAGGGATTCTATGGTTTAATAGAATAAAAAAAGAAAATCAGATCTCTTCATAGACTGGGAAAGGAAACAGAAATGAGGAAGGGCCTATAATAGAGAGCTGCACAACTTATAAAAGTATACCCCATATTTTCATTGTTTTTAATGCAAACAAGCCAAGGATTCTTCATGGTGGGGGATCCCACTTTACACTATTCTACCACATGTGAATGTTTTTAACTACCAATAACACTACTTTGAGCTTTCCATTGTTCCTCCCTTAAGACTTACAGCTTTTTGAGATCAACTGCCTTCAACTTTCCCATGAAAGTACCTCTGGAATTTTCTTCTTCCAAAAGACCTTAGCTTTCTTTTACCCTGTTTCCTTTAGTTAGGCTATGCTAGACATCACTCTGTTGTCCACTCTAACCTTTTTTTCAGATCTTCTTCTTTGTCTTCTTCTTCTGGACACGGTAGCTATTTTTGACCTCAGACTATTACATACCCTACTACATTCTAAACTGACATCAACTGTCATTCACACTGTGGTGCTTGACCTTTTATCTTCTCTAGGCAGAATTTCTAATCAATCACAATATATCATCATCTAAAAACCAGTGAGGGAAGACATATGATTTCCTTCTGGACCTATCCCTGCCTATCCTTTGTCTTCTTGAGGTTCCACAATCTACTATGAAAGTAATTGACATAATTGTAAATCTTCTGCTAAGCAAATTAATTACTACTGTTGCTTGACAGATTTTCAACAATGTGATTTTTCACACTGCATTTGGAGATTACTCTTGTGAACATTAAAGGCTATAACACTTCTCTGCCATGTAGTTTATTTTATCCACTGAGAGATTCAACCCTGAATAACCCCTCCCTTTGGGATGCTGAATTATTGAAAGAATATTTTTCCATGGATTATGCTACATTTTTAAATCACATTTGGGCAACTTGTAATGATCATGGGCTGCATTTTAACATTTGACCTAGTAAATACAAAATGGGAGGAGTCACATCACACACATGAACATGGGCAGGATTTCCCCTTTTTGGTGGTGGGAGGTGGGGGTGAGTAATTTTAATTTAATTTAACCTGTTTTAATATTATGTTAAACCTATTTGAAATTTACCCTACAGTTTTCTGTGCTTCCTGCTTCAAAATCAGTCTCATGATTTTGGAGCTTCCTGACTCTGGGTTTGGGGCATGCCTTAAATATCTCCATTCTCATTTTTCACTATTTTTTGTATCTGTATCTTGCCGTTCAGCAAATATTCATTGTTTTTTAGGGAAAAAATTGACAATATCTAATAGGGAATAATGGAGACATACCTCATCCTCTTTTCAGATCTAAATGATGTTGCATCTGAAAATGGTTTGTCCCATTGCCAGTTTAAAAACATAATCCTGTCAAGCGCTGCTCAGACTCATCGGCTACGAAAACTGAGGGGTCCCTCAAAATGCAGAGAGTGTGAGAACTTCATGGTCAATGGTATTGAATGCGAAGAAGTAAGTGAACATAAAGAGAACCACTTTGCTGGAGTATGTTCAACCGGCTCCCACCCTCAGTGTAACATAGGACAAGCACATTGTAGTAAAAAAAAAAAAGAATGTGAAAATAATTATTATTTAGGCCTCAGTGGCATACCTACATATATGGAAGTAAACACAACAAAGCTAACTTTTAAATAAATATGCACACATCTAAATCCATTACATTAATCCAACATCCTACCCTGAGACATGATCCAGTGAGCATGAAATCATATCATCAACCCACATTAACCCCTCTAGTGGTTAAGTATCTTTCAGTGGGACTTGACTGCTGATTTGAATATGTAAGAGTAACAGGAACAGGAAAGGTTTGGTTTGTGTTCTGACTTGTAATGTGCCAAGTGGGTACAGTAATAGAGGATGCCAGCCCTGCTCCAGTTGGGATCAGGTCTCCATCATGGTTTGTTGTTTGTACCCTAGTTAATTTCTGGCTTTATGACAAGCATTTCTGCAGACCCAGTGTTTAATTTGTGGACATTCAGGATGATTGAACAGAGAGAGAGAGTACTTCTCAGGAGTAGAAAGTAGTCTGGGAGAATTTTCATTCCTGTAGGGTACAATACATTTTTGAAACAGTATATTTTATTTATTTATTAATCATATTTATATATTCATATCACTGAAGAATAGTGAAATAACTTGAAGCTTTTAGTTTCAGTCAGTACGTTCCTGAATGACATTATCCGAGTTAGTTTTTATGTTTTAGTTAGCATCTCCATGGTCCATTATGAGAAATGGGCAACTAGGCTAGAATCTTGAAGCAGGTCCAACTTTTGTTTTTCCATTCTATGATCATCGAAACTACTAAAAACTCAGGAGACATTAAGCGTCAATTTGAATTTTTGATCCAGCACGTCAGATATCTAAGATCAATGCTGGGAGGAATGGACCTCCTTTTTCTATATAGTAAAGCAATAAAATTTGTTATATAAGTACACAAAATATTTCCTGCTGCACTCCCAATTCCCAATGGAGAGTTAAGTGCCATTTCACATATTATAGATACATGTAATTCTGTCACAGAGTATAATCTAAGCAGATCTACAGCTGATCATGGCTCTGTAAGAAATGCATTTTTGTAGTTCTAAAATTCTTAATGTTTTAGTGTTTTAAAAGAATTCTCTAAATGTACACCTCAGTTTGTAATGTATGCAGAAGTTTAACCATTCTAATACAGCATTGGCAAGTATATTCCCCAGTTTAGGGGGACCAGTTGGCTTATATACTCAAAGGGATTTTCTTCTTGTGCTGCTGGCTCCTTAAAGATAAAAATCTCATTTCAGTCAGGCTCAATGCCTGGTGACTTTACAGACACAACCCTGCAGTTTCCTGGAATGGATTACCATTGCCTCCTTTGGGGGTCATTTTTTCACTTTCCCAGCCAACACAAAGGTCTCCCATCCAAGGACTCTGCAGGTCAGATCTTGTGAAACTCCCAAACTCAGACTAGGTTGGCCAAATGTTCACCCATTGAAATAGTGGCCTGTTATAAGGAGCTCAAAATAGTGTGGTTTAAGAAATAGCTATTTGCTAAGACTGATCCAATGCTTGGGGGTTACTCACAGTGCATGCTGACCTGCCATAAGAAATGTCTGGAGAGCCTTCTCATCAACTGTGGTCATCAAAAACTGCCAGCCCGAGCATCACTCTTTGGAATTGACTTCATTGATGTGCCAAGGGATTTCCCAGAGGAGGTGCCATTTATTGTGATGAAATGTACATCAGAGATAGAAAGTCGTGCCTTGGGAGTGCAGGTAACTCATTCTTCTTTGCTTACAACAGTTGCACCTCAAGCTGTATTCCTGCTGAAAGGTAAGAGCAGGAATAGGATTTTCATTCCTACTCCTAATACAAAAGCTGAATTAACAGTTGCCTATGTATGCTTTAGATTAGTCCATTTCTGTGCAAACATAAAGTTCTCCAAAAATGAGTGCAACCAGAAGACACTATTCCATGGCAAGTTGTTTAACAGTTAGAACAAACAAGTCTGCCTACAACTTTGTCTGCATACAGATCAGAACTTTGTGTATATTGTAATTTCAGGATCCTTATATGTACTATTATTGTTACATGCTGTTTTTTCATTATGCTGTTAGCTCTGAATTCCAAACTGAGCAAAATAAGTCTCCAGGTTTCTGAGCTGGCAGAAGTATGGTTTTCTATACTAAATTAACTACAGTTTGGTGTCCTAGCATTTCAGTCTCTCCTCCATTTGCATCCCTCTATTTCTGCATCAGATATTCTAGTTTTTATTTTGACACTTATGCATATGTGTTGTTCATCAGTCTCCTATGCATATGTGTTGTTCATCAGTCTCCCTTTGCATCCTCAATTCAGGGAATATACCGCATTAGTGGGGCAAAAGCACGCATGGAGAGATTGTGCCAAGCCTTTGAGAATGGCCAGAGGTTGGTGGAGGTCTCAGATCACTCACCCCATGATATTACTGGAGTCCTTAAACATTTTCTTAAGGAGGTAAGAAATAAAAATGGAGAGCACCCTTAATATCACATTTCCCTACAGTTGAAAGTGATTTTCTGAGATGTACATCTTTAGCAGTGGGAGGTCACAAAACTACATTTTTTCAAACCTTTCTGAAGCAGAAACAAACTGATATTAAAAGATAACTTACAGCTATTCCCTCCCTTATAATGCACATCTTGCATTCCTCCCAGCTTTCACAATCTGAATGACTCATATATGCTGGTCTATGACCGTAATAAAGATTTGATTGATTGATTGATTGATTGAATGAATGACTCATAGACATCATACAAATTGCAGTTTGCCTACTGTTTGCCAGATGTACTCTTATAGGTTTGAATATCTATCCTTCATTGTCCTCATTTTTTAAAAGCGCAATCTCTTCTGTGATTTGCATCAGAGAAGGCTCTTTGTTGGCAGACACTTTCTACTTCCATTCCTACTTTACAAGATTTATTTTCAAAACCATTGGTTCTGATCTTGGCCTCTAGAAAACAAAGTCCATTCACTGTTCTGTATGACTCTTTAGGAATCTCCCCTCAGTGTTCTCTTCTGCAGGCTAAACATACCCAGTTCCTTTAGCCATTCTGCATAGGACTTGGTTTCTGTCCCCTTACCATTTTGGTAGCAATTCTCTGAACTCATTCCATTAGGACTTGGCCGAGGCAGAGTAGAGTGGGACAATAAGCTCCTGTGATCTGGACTCTGTGTTCCTGTTAATATATTTGTCTATTTGTCAAATTTATACAGGCACCCATCTCAATACATGATTCTGGGCAGCTCACAAAAATATGTATCCTCAAATTGCATCCACTTTTTAGCAGCTGCATCACATTATTGTCTCATGTTTTACTGGTGACCTACTAGAACATTCAGTTTCTTTTGGCATGTATCACTGTCAAACTAGGTCTCCTCTATTTCATACTTGTGTGTTTCATTTCTTCTCCCCAGATGCAGACTTTACATCTCTCCCTGTTAAACTTCATCCTATTTATGTCAGCCCACTGTTAAATTTCATCCTGTTCATTTCAATAACCTGTCTAGAGGGTTTTTTAATATTTTTTTTCTTTCTAAATGTTAGCTATTCCTCCTAGTTTTGTACATATGCATAATAGGGACTCTGAGTACATAAAGGAAAGGTGTATTTTTTACACCTTTTTAATTTTTTTAAATGCGCAGGCTCCGAACTCCACTGCTGCACAGAAGATACCTCCTGGTATGGGCAAGTCTTCCTTAATGGGGATCATTAAAGTTCAACAGCTCAGATTATCTGGCATTCTCCATATATGAAGTGTTGTTTTGAACCATATATGTCATGGGACAGCATTGAGAGTTAGAAAATGCAAGACAGTAAACTAGCATGGTTTGATAGTACTATTCTCTGAAACTGAGGTAACATGGCAGGATCCAATAATATTTGTGATCAAATCTAAACGCAGGGAGCCAGCACCAGTAAGGTATTCTGATGCATTTTTCATTTTTGCTACAGCTTTCCAGCCCTGTGCTTCCATATAAGCTTTATGATGATTTCATGGCTCTCTCAAGGAATTTGCAGAAAACTGAAAACAGAACTGGGAATCATTCTGAGACAGATCCCATCAAGACCGCCAAGGATTTGCTGAGCAAATTTCCAGCAACAAATTATAATACTTTAAGGCACCTCATTGCTCATCTGTACAGGTAATGAAAGAAATAGCATTGAATACCCAGCTTTTGTCTTGTAGGACAAATTAGCTCTGTTAAAATTATCTGATACCATTTGTATTGCCAACAACTGGAAAGTAACTATTCTTATCAGTAAATTCTAATCATATCTCTTTTAAAGTGGATGTAAGTTAAGAGGATGTGGAAGTGATTTGGAACAGAGTAAAAAGCATTATGTTAAAGTGCCACAGAAGTGTGTGGAGTTACACTAGTGGAAAGTATGAAAAGGGACATTTGGTAGAATGATGAGGTGAAAGAGATTAAGGATGAAAAAATGCACATAAGAGCATGATTACTGCAAAGCATAAGGATAAAAGGAAGACTTTGTATAGAAAGAAAAAGAGTACTGCAACTTTTTCACAAGGATAGGAATGCATGATGTCACTCTCAACCCATCTCTAGCCCACTACAAAGGCAACCTCCACCTGTCTTTTATTGCAGTGGTATCACCTCCTCCTCTCCAGTCAGTTACTGCACCAAGCCATTTGTCCTCGGCTGCTGGGCCCTCTGCCTCCTTTTGAAGGGACCTTCCCATCATAAACTGGTGAAACACTGTGGTTTTGTTTTTTAACAAGTTCACCAGTAGACAAGAGTCCTGCCAGTTTCCCTTCTAGTTGGAGTCATACAAAGAATGCTAAAAATATAATGTTCCCTTTTCCTTTTTTCCCACTGGTCCACAGTTGGATCTGCTAAATGGGGATATTCTGAGTACAAAGGGAAACCAACTAAGGGGCTGATACAAAGGTCTATCAATGAAAACCTATATCCACAATGACCCGCCCATAGAAAGGAAAGTGATTGGTGCTCGCTTTCCTACCATGGGTGAGAAGGGTAAAGAACTAGGGGAATCTACCAATCAGGGTTAGTGTAACTACCATCTGGACAGAACACCTGGCAGCATCATTTCCAAAGCTGAAGAAATGGAAAACAATGTCTTAAGTAGGTTTAATTTTTAGCTGGCTTCTATACAGGAGACAAGTAGCTTAAAAAAAACAGAACAAGGAATGGTTAAGATTAAAAGAGGAACACAAAATGCAATGCAGTTTTGATAGGAATTTAAAGTTGTTTTGGAAGTGGGTAAAAACAGCTTAACAAGAAACCTCTAGTATGGCAAATAGAATTAAGAATAAAAGCAATGAAATTATTTGCAATGAAATTGAAACCAGAATATTTTAGAGATTTAATAATATGTTGATGAGAAGAATGATAATGGTATGTCATAGGATGCAAGTGAAATGAATGCTACACTAATGTCCAGGAAAAAAATAAGAAAAGGAAGTCATGAATGTTTTGAAAATATGGAAAATGGTGAAGCAGCAGGGTTAGACAGCATACTTGAGAAATATTAAAATATGGATGTAATTTGCTTACAAAGTGAATCTGCAGCATGTATGAAGGCTGCATCTGTGCCTAACACTGGAAGAATACTTATTCCCTTGTAAAAAGGGAAAGTTAGCAAACAAGTGTTTATGAGCATAAATGGAATGCTTTCTTCGGGGGGCAAGCCTTCAGAAATGGGAATATAGATGTCAAGGAAGAGAGTCTTCCTGGAAGTTGATATTTCCCTGTGTATGAGTTTCCAACTCAATCTGGCAATAGATTTGGAGTTCACAAAGAAAAGAAAATGCTGATTACTTGGATATCATATTTTATCTGTGTATCTATGTGTGTGTGCATGGTTCTGGGATTTTCTGCCTCCTGTGCCAAAATAAGTTGGCTGGCACTGGGGCCACTGCAGAAGAGGAGAAGGTGGGAAGGTGAGTGTGAAGTGTCATTAGTGACAACAGAGATGGCAGCAGGCTTAGCTTTGGGGCAGAAGGCTTTGAAACTAGGAAGCCCCAACCCCTGATGGCTCCTTGGCAGTCTTTTGAAAGAAGCAATTGTCCAGAAGGTGCAGAGGCAAGAAAGCTGAGGGAAAGGTTAGAAGGCACCTTCCTCTCCTCCTGCACGTGCGGTTTCCCTCCAGCCCAGAACAACCAATCGCTGCAAGAAGGTAATGCACATATGTTCTGTGCAGGCAGCAACTTGCCAGTCTTGCTGCAGAGGCACAATAAAAGGACTGCTTTTGGGTTTAAACAGCATTCTCAGGAGTGAGAGGAAAGCACAATGATGTGTATGTGCAGGAGCTTTGAGTTACAGTGCCACCCACCCATCTTTGAGTCTTCAGAAAACTACATTAGCCTGAAATTTGCTGTCCTTGCTGCCAGTCCATATCCTGCCTCTCTTGCCTCTGTTCCCAGTTACTGTCAGACACCTGAATTCCCTCTAAGGTGACAAAACCTAACCAATTTTTGACATCTTGAGGCTGCCCTTGCCAAGAGTTGGAATATGGGGGAAGACGTTACAGTACAGCTAAAAATGACATAATCATTCATGAGCTCGGGACAAGATGAAGGCAACATCAAGGGGGCACCAAAAAAAAATGGTTTTTCTGAGGATGTATTTGTGGCATGGTTAGGTGCCAGTAAGGACCCAGTCATAGTTGAAAATAAAAATAATTTTCTTTTTTGTTATTTTGGATATGTTACAGCTGAGGTAGAAATTAATGGATTTAGCTGCCCAATGCAGATAATGGCATGGGAACACAGAACTGATTCTAAAGCCATACATAGATAATTGTGGAAGTTCTCATAGTCTGGTATAAAACTCCTGGTTATGAAGGAGAAGTTTGCAGAATGGAGGATGGGATTACTGAAACACAGCAGCAAGAGCCAATAGGAAGGAAGAGAATCACAAACTGTGTGTTGGGACAACTGTTTTTGCACTGACAGGATTAAGTTACAGTTGTTCCTTCAAGATGACATTTTGCAGAGATACTTCATTTGTTGGTGTTTATGTTGCTACATTTTATTTCTGATAATTTCTGCCCCTGCACAATTATTGATATAGGGCTATAAAATATCATTAGGTAAGAGTGTGTGTGTGTGTGTGTGTGTGTATGCATATACATACATACATACATACATACATACATACATACATACATACATACATAATACTTTTGGCCAGGATCTCTGTTAAGTGACTGGCATGGCAACCCCAATAAGTACCAGCTGGAAATAGAGTTTGAAATCTACACACCATTGTTTTCTCCATTCATGAAAAAATATTGTGCCCAAACTTTCTAACCCCTTGATTATTGTCTTTTTCTTTCCAAGGGTGGCTGAAAGATATGAGGAGAACAAGATGTCTCCCAACAACCTGGGCATCATCTTTGGTCCTACACTAATCCGCCCTCCCTGTAACAATGATGTGTCCATGTCATGCCTTGTGGATTCAGGATACCAGTCCCAGCTGGTTGAATTTCTTATCCTCAACTATGAAAAGATATTTGGGATGGATGACCTGCCTTCAGCTGGTCTTTGTGAATTTGAAAACTCTTTGAAACAGGCAAATACTAATGAAGCTTTTTCAAGCAACCAAAGACATTCCAGTGCATCTTTAGAGGTAGGAATGAGTGGTGGCCTATCATTAAGTGAAATGAATGAGCCACCTTGAGCAGTAGACTGAGATAAGTGGCAAACTGCCTTCAAGCCACCCAGCCTGCCACTTGCTTCATTGTGCATAAAGCACACAGCCAGCCATTCCATGCATGTCTCTCAGAGGTGGCCCTCTGTGATACATTCCAAGGAAGCTATAAGAGTCTGCACAGTTTAAAAATAATAATAATCAGTTGTTAATTGTTATTAGCAGTAGTGATATCATTGTAGAAGAGCTAAAGGGAACTTACATAGGGATTGAACTTCATTTTACCCAGACAATAATCCCATAAACTAGATTGGACTAAGAGTGAGTTTCCATGACTAAGGATGGACTACTCCCCCAGTCCCTGGCCTAACACCATAACCATTACACCACACACTGATTCTCAGTGTTAGCAGAACTTTGTTGAAAAGGGTGGGTATTCTGCCATTTTTGTTTTCTCAAAATACATCTTTATTTTGAGATTTCAAAGTAACATACAAAGTATTATCAAAAATGGGAAGAAAAAATGGAAACACAATGGATGTTTCCCTTTAGAAAATTGTAATAGTTAAAAGTTTTGAAAAGTGGCATGGATTTTACATTTGAAAATAAAAATGTCTAATATCACCCTATCCATCTCACACATAGCGTTCTTGCTGTGATTAGATAAAGCTGCTGGAGGAGCTCAATACAATAGATTCACAACCATCTTTTTTTCCAAACAGAACCCTGCCTCCAAGCTTTGTTTGGGTGAAAATGATTGTGGAACTGAGGATTGTTCCTCCACTGAGGACAAGCAGAAAGACAGTGTGGAGCAAACTCTCAACCCCATAAGCAGAGACCCCATAGGTAATTTTTCCCCTATATCAAACCAATCCTTTAAAGAATAGAAAGTCTGTGTTGTTGGGAACTCTTCATTCCATCCCAAATGATTAATATCTACAATATCTTCAGTATGAGAAACAGCAGCATAAAGGCAGTTCTGAAATTCCAAGAAAATATGCTATCTAAATTGAGTTGATTAGGATGACTTTGTCTTCCCCAGCATGAGAGATTTTTGAAAAGTGACAATATTATCCTAAAAGAGGCTCAGCATGAAATATCTTAATGCTGGAATTTATATAGGCTTAAACTACTGTTACATGAAAACCAAATACAGGTACAAAATTGAAAATGATCATATATGCATACCTGCCCTGCAAACCTAAGTTGGTTTAATTTAACACAATTCTATGAAGGTGAGGCCAAGGATCTTCATGTTTCCACCAATTACAGCACTCCAAATTCTTTGAAGGAAAACCATGGCAAGTTTTCCAGAGGTGTCTGGTTAGCCATTGTGCAAAAGGATGTTGATGGTGGAAGTGTTGGGCAGGCCCAGCTGGTCTCTTACGTTTTCATGATAGTAAGTAGCATTAAGTGATATGAGTATGAAACGCAGATACACCAATAAAATAAAAAGGCTATAAAACATAGATGGTTGATGCATTTAGTCCTTTTATGAACTACTAGTACCAGAGTTTGTGGCATACACTAAGGACTATTGCTGCTCTGATTGGAAGGGATCTGTGTTATCTAATACCAGTCAAAATGTGTGGAGAGTGGACAATGAAGTGTTTCCTTAAGGAATCCAGCTAATATTTCATTGCTTTTAGGAAAGCATCACTTGCTTTTAAACACATGGTCTCCTGGGTGATACATGGAACAGACTGCCTTTCCTCATTCTTTATCACACCTTTTCTTCTCGCTCAGAGCTGAACAGCACAAATGACGCAGAACTAAAAGACTCTATACTTGATCCAGAAGTCACTCTCAGTCCGCAGTGCAGGGGACGCTTCAGCCGAATGCCAGTGAAACATCCTCGTACCATCATCCCCAGAGTTTCCAGCCTGCCCCTGCTGGCTGCTGTTCTCTCTAATCCAGAGGCAGCCAGTAACCTGTTGGAGACGGGTCCAACTAGCCGCAGTGCCTCCCCTGATACCTCTGGGAAGCGTAAGCATTTCGAGATCACGCCAGAAACTGCTAGGATTGTCTCTAAGCTGCAGCCTCAGAATGGAACACAAGATTATTGTCCAGCTCAGCTTGGGGCCGCTCTCCAGGAAAAGCCTCTGGATGCCCTGGTAGAAAGTAAAGCTGAATCCTGAGCTAAAATGTTTTCTTGGGAAGTGAACTGGACAAAGGACTCGAATCCCAGTTCTTGGAGACATTCTGGAATGCGAAAATCACAAAACATCCTGGCTCCCTCTCACCTAGTGTATTTGGAGAACAAACCAACCAACCAGCTCCGGATACATCTAGGAGGAATGAGGTATTTATACGATGTCTCCAAAGAAAAGAGTAAGCTAGAGCTGAGTTGTTGGGATACTAGAAATGATCAACCCAGTGAAGCAGGCTTTCAAAACGGGACTATTACTGCAAAGGGACTGTGGAGAAGCAGAATACTGCTAGGGAAAATGGTAGGGATTTTGCAGAAATGGACAGAGCCTTGGAAATAACTGCCCATACTGCTCAGGGGCCATATTTGGGCAGTATGTTAATATACGGCACGAGTATTCAAGATGGCTCAGGATTATGTTTGACAAGGATGACATGACTGTGTTGAAACCACATGATGGGGGATTGGATCAGATTGCTATCAGCAAAACAACATATATCCTGGAAGTTTAAAGGTATCAAAATGATCACTAAAGAGAAATAAATTCCATGTAAATTGTGCAATAATCCTTGGAAATCTTGTAATGCCATCTCTCTAGCTTCTGAGCCCAAGCATGTTTAGACATATCAACCCTCAACACTGGAAATGTACTTCTTTAAAAAATGAAAATATGTTTGGGAAGCTGAGTTCTGTATTCATTATACATATCTATGCTTTTTATCCCTATTGGTTTGCGCAGAATAATAGTCCAAGAATAGTGCTGGCTATACAGTATAGTGGTTCTCTACTGAGAGCTTGCTAACTTTAGGAGGAAAGCATGAATGAGAGTACAGAAGGAGGCAATGTATGTTTCTTGCAGAGAATGCCTGGATGTAGAGATAGGGAGATGGGGCAGGGCAGGTGGATAGCTGACATGGTGTTGCTGGAATATTTTATTACTAGCATGCTAGTGTGTATAAGTTTCTCTTTGTGTAGAGTTGCCACCTGGACATTAAGCATGAATTTTTACAGGCATCTTCCCACTATATATTTCTTAAGTTCCATCATCTATCTCTCCTCACTTTTTGTGCAGCGTAATTGGTTGAGTTCACACAGTGCATTAAACCATGGTGTGTTTTAATCTTGATTTGATTAAGAAGTTATAGTATTTGGTTTACACATAATAAGCCATAAACTATTGTTTACAAACCACAGTGTCTGTTCACACAATGCCTTAGCATAATGTGAGTGTTTACAATACTATATGAAATATTGTAAATGACAGTAAGGGGACAGATTGGAGAAGCCATGGTTGCCTATCAATAACAGGTGTACACCTGGGTCATCCTGTGGAATCTGCCACCAACTGAAACTTCTGATTCTATATATATGCATTGAAATGCATGTGTACATATGTAATTTTGCTGGCAAACTACTCTCACAGAGATGCTCAAATGCTGCATTTATAGGGTTTGCCCTGCAACAGTGATGTGTTGCTATGATGAACTAACAGCTTTTGAAGCTTCTCAATAAACTTGTTAATAGCTCTAAAAATCCATTTTCTCTTGCAACCACCCTGTAACCGCCTATTTTGCAAATCACTAGACAAATGTATACAAATACATGCCAATTAATACATGTTCAGAATGTGGGTGGGTTGCGGGGAAAACGTTAGAAATGTATTTGCTACGCTTTTTACAAACAAAGGGGGAATGCCCGATTATCAATTCAGAGAGGATTGGAAAATCTGCAGGCAGTATCTCAATGATTTTGAAAGAGAAAAATAAGTACTGGTCAGCTGGTGTTCCCACTCTGCTATTGGCTAACCCAGTCTGAGGAATGGTTGGTTTAAGATGCTTTCTACAAGCTCCAGGCTTGCAAATATGCTGAACATGCTAAACATGTTGAAACTGTTTGAGATCTGCAGATGGTGAAGACAATCTGGAGAAGCTGTGAGTTAATTTTACAGTGTATTGGGAATTCTTAACAAACAGAAATAAGTATAATACTGTATAAGTACCTCTATAAAAGTTTTATATATGAACCTTTCAAAGCCAAATGGAAGACCAGCATGGGAATGTCTTGCACCAAAGCTGTACAGATTGCAAAACATATCTTCCTTTTCCTCCCAGAGTGTCTTCAGTCTCTGTCAACATGTGCCCACAAAACTGAATGTGCATAAGTGCATCTCTAAATGGACATACCTTTGCATTAAGGTAGGTGTGCCCTTTTGTCTGCTGGAATATACAGCAGCCAAATATATAAATCAAGAAATAGCAGAACATTGACAAACCCCTTAGCATTTGGCTGACAGGGTGGACTTCTCTCAAGGTTGAACATAACACATTGATCTGGTTCATGCCTTGTCCTTAAACGTGACTTATTGAAAAAAACCCACAGAATCCTAGGCCAAAATCAAACAAATCACTGCTTAGTAATATGAATGAAACCCTTTACCTGTCTAGGCAGAATTGGAGGCTAGTGAATCAGTTAATAATCTGGGGATGCTGCTGATTCAACAGAACTCTTAAACCCTCTAAAGCTAGAGGATGGGATAGAGTTGGAGATTTCTTTATTTTGCCAGAGAATTTCTCAAGTCAGCTGTTGCAGCACCTGTCCAATGGAAATGTTTTCCCCTGGAGATACCAATAGCTCCAACCCTCTTGGACTTTCAGAAGGCTATGAAGACCTGGCTCTTCCCCCAGGAGTTGGAGTCAAGACATTAGAGGGGCCTAATGTGTGTGTTTTGTGTTGTGAGTTTGTTATACAGTGCCTTGGTACTGCATTATGATTATTTTTAATGTGTACTTTTTGTTTTGCTTACAATGGTTTATTATATCTTTTTTCCTATGGACCGGTTGCCAGCCACCCAGAGTTATTCAGTTAACATGGGCGGCCATATACATTTTCTGAAGAAATAAATATATCACACTCACTGTCCTTAAAATCTAGTCAGAAAAAAATGATACCAATTTCTTCTTAGCCATTATAAATAGATGGATATCTAGAAAGAAACTGAGAGGAAAGATCATGTGGTTGCTCACTTTTTTCATCTCCTGCCCCTCTGATAAATTAATATTCAATGCTGATCATCTGCCACCACTCCACTTCTCTGGTTTCCTGTTGTGCATTGTTGAATATGTCATCATTGTCCTTGCGCACAGATCCAGTTCTCTATTCCAGGCATGTGAGCCCCCAAGTAATCTTTCTCTCAAATGGCATATGCATTTCCTTCAAAGAGAAGTAAGTGTATGACTGTGAAGCTTAGGCAGGTTGTGCTGTCATGAATGTTATATATTTAAACAGTACTAGGATTCCCCTCTGGTATGTGTGCATGTTATGCACACATAATGCAGATTTAATTTTCACCAGCATCTCAGCTAACTTCCCAGCAGGGGGAGTTTTGCTGCTGGGAATTTCAAATGCCATTGGTATTAGGTTTCTTAAGCTCCATCCTGTTTTTTGAAGAAATAGCAGAATCTCAGATAAGTAAACTAACATGTTTATTATGTTAGGGTCATGAACTGCAACCCAGATTTCCTAACTTATATGGGATGGGGGAGAATAGACAAGTATTTGCTTCCTCCCACTGACTATTAGGCAAAACAAAAACCTTCAGCCAAGCTATCAGCCTGGGGTCTGTTTGAAAGAAACAGGCATGGACCAGAACCCATGGATTTCTGCAGATATATATTTCATTTCAAGCATTTAAATGAAATATACTGAGACTGTTTCCAGCTGGGACTGCAGTTCCAGAGACAGAGCAAGTTCACACCCCTTTCCCCAGGGATCATAGGTTGCAACTGCTGAGCCCTTACTGCACATGGTCTTGGCTTTCTCCTGCTTCAGTTTTACAGTTTATATCAAAATGGGAATTGTTGTTTGCAGGTTGCAAGTACCACTGCAGAAGTAGCATTTGGGCATCTTGTGCTTAGCAGTGTGATCTATGCTGCCATTACATTTCAAGGGGATGCATGGCTCATGTTGCCTCCCAGCTCCTGCTATTGCAGTGTAGTGGCTGGGCTTCAAAACTGGATGAAGAGCCAGGTTAGAAAGGGTTCAGAGGAGAGCAACAAATTTTATTTATTTCTTTATTTATTTGTGGGATTTCTCCCCCACCCATCTCCCCCACAATAGGGGACTCTGGGCAACTTACAAAAACATTAAAACTATAAATATATCTAAAACACATAGTACATCCAGAATTAAAAAACAATACTAAAAATACTAAAAATATGATACAGTGGCTTGAGGACACGCTCTATGAAGACAGATTTGTTGTCAGCAGTCACACCCAAATTCTTCTCAGGTCTAGTTTTTCTGAGCCATGAATCCCCCACCTTGTATATGTATAATACATTTTTTTCTAAATGTCCGAAATGCAATACATTACATTTCTCCCTATTACAGAACATCTTGTTCCTCTCAGCCCAGTCTTCCAGTCTGTCCAGATTAAACTCAATTGTGTCCTGTTGTCCTGGGTATTGGCCAGACCTCCCAATGTGGTTTCATCTGTACATTTTATAAGCAGCCTGTCAGAAGCCTTGCAATCAATTAAATAGTTAATCAGCTTGCCTATCTATCCCTCCATCCAAGTCATTAATATGTTGACTAATACTGGCTCCAAGACTGAGCCTTGTGGAACCCCACTGGATGCTGTACTCCAAGTTGACGTAGAACTATTAACACTGATTTTCTGAATGTGATTATTCAGCCAGTTTGTGGAGTATGCCAACTATACTTTTATAGCTTGTCAAAGGCTTTGCTGAAATCAAAGTAGATTGTATTCACAGCATTCCCCTTGTACATCAGAATAGTTACCTACCAAAGAAGAAAATAAAATTTGCCTTACCTGATTTATTTTTGATAGATTGGCTTTTAGCAATCATGGAATTGTCTTCAAAAGTGCTATCAAATGGCCTACTTTATTACCTGTTTTTCCATCTTTCCAGGATTTTGTGTCCAGCTCAGTAGTTGCTAATTACTGGGACCCTCTTTATTTCTTTCCTGAAGAGAGGGACTACATTTACTTTTTTCTAGTCATCTGGCATCTCCCCAGTTTTCCAGGAGTCTTCAAAGATAACTGACAGAGGTCCTGACAATTCTCTGCCAGTTCCATCAGAATTCTAGGATGTATTTCATCAGGGCTTAGAGGCCTGAAGGTATTCAAAATACCCAGAGGCTCCTTTATTACATCCTTACTGACCTGCACCTTCTTCTATTTCATTTCTAGTCTGTACTACT